GGGGGGGGGGGGGGGGGGGGGGGGGGGGGGGGGGGGGGGGGGCGGGGCGGGGCGTCTGAGAGCTGGCAAACCGGAAAGCGCCTGGAACGCCCAATGGCAAGGCACTGTTGTTGGTTTGCGTCGCCAGCCAATGCAGGCTCAGCGCGGGACTTTCAAACTCCTTCAGCCCAATCAGGGTGCTTCTGCGTCTATAAAGGCTACCGGCTGGCGTGCAGTTCTCAGTCGTGTTCCAGCACAGGAGAAGCTTAGTTCTTCCTCGCTCGCAATGGCCCGTACCAAGCAGACCGCCCGTAAGTCCACCGGTGGCAAAGCGCCCCGCAAGCAGCTGGCTACCAAGGCTGCCCGCAAGAGCGCCCCGGCCACTGGCGGCGTGAAGAAGCCTCACCGCTACCGGCCTGGCACCGTGGCTCTCCGGGAGATCCGGCGCTACCAGAAATCCACGGAGCTGCTGATCCGCAAGCTGCCGTTCCAGCGCCTGGTGCGCGAAATCGCTCAGGACTTCAAGACGGACCTGCGCTTCCAGAGCTCGGCCGTCATGGCTCTGCAGGAGGCTAGCGAGGCATACTTGGTGGGGCTGTTCGAAGACACGAACCTGTGCGCCATCCACGCCAAGAGAGTGACCATCATGCCCAAGGACATTCAGCTGGCCCGCCGCATCCGCGGTGAGAGGGCGTAAGGCGCTGCTTTCCCCTCGTGGAAGGTCCACACCCCAAAGGCTCTTTTCAGAGCCACCCACGTTCTCACGAGAGTAGCTGTGACCGCCCCGGTTTCCTTTTGCTTGGCATGGGACTTTCCCGTGTTCCTGGCTTCGATGTCCATAAAGTACATGTTTTCTGCTTTCTCTCTGGCCCGGCCCAGAAGGAGCAACAGCAAAATCAGTAGGGCGGGGCACCCCAACCCCATTCCCCTTCCCTTCCCCCCTGCTAGAAAGAAAAATCCGAGCTACAATACAAGTATGGGGGGTAACGGGACTTGAAAGAGCAACGAACTTCCTCCCCCCCTCCCCCCATCATTTAGGCATTCATTCATATGAGAGGAGCAAGCAAATAAATCAGTACGTATGGAGTAAGTAGTATATTATTAGCCTAGGCTAGGGGCGGTCCGAGAGGGGGGAAAAAGATGGAAACGGGGGGGGGGTGAGTGGAAGAATCCTTTCCCCATTTGTTTTATATATTAATTATTTAGTTTTGAAGAAAGGGGAAGGGGGGGGGGTGTTAGTGTTCGGGTTTTTCCTGATTTGGGTATTCCGCCTTACATCAACGGACATGGCGATTTTAGAAACACTACTAATTTCTATAGGGGACTTGTGTGTTCGTAGGCTCAGCTCTTTTTCTGAGGTGAGTGGGTGGCTCTGAAAAGAGCCTTTGGGTGTGTCAAGTTTCGAGGGCTCGAGCTCTACTTCTTGGCCGCTGCCTTCTTGCTTTTGGCGGCTTTGGGCTTAGCCGCCTTGGGCTTGGTCACCTTCTTGGCCTTGGCCGCCTTGGGCTTAGCCGGGCTCTTGGCCACCTTCTTGGGCTTGGCTGCCTTGGCCTTCTTCGGGCTCTTGGCCGCTTTCTTGGCGGCCGCCGGCTTCTTGGCTTTCTTCGGGCTCTTCTTCCCGCTCTTCTTGGCGCCCGCGGCCCCCGTCGCCTTCTTGGGCTTCTTGGAAGCGCCCGCGGCCTTCTTGGTCTTGGCCGACGCCGGCTTCTTGGCCTTAGCCTTGGTGTCGGCCGTCGGGGCCTTCTTGTTCAGCTTGAAGGAGCCCGAGGCTCCGGTGCCCTTAGTCTGCACCAGGGTGCCCTTGCTCACCAGGCTTTTGAGCCCCAGCTTGATGCGGCTGTTGTTCTTGTCCACGTCGTAGCCCGCGGCCGCCAGCGCCTTCTTCAGGGCTGCCAGGGACACGCCATTCCGCTCCTTGGAGGCGCTCACGGCTTTCGTGATCAGCTCCGACACCGGCGGACCCGCGGCCTTGCGCCGCGCTCCCCCGGCGGCCGAGGCCCTCTTGCCCTTCTTCTTGGCCGGGGTCTTCTCTGCAGGGGCCGGGGCGGCGGGAGCGGCGGGTGCCGTCTCGGACATGGCAGCGAAGGGACGATACAGCAGCAACAGCAAGAAGTCACTAGAGGACGCCGCGGACTCGCGAATAAGCGAGCTCCGAGCTGACCCACTTATATATAGGTAAGGGCTGCCCTGTGATTGGTGCGCCGTCCCAGCCCTCCTCGCCCGTGAGCAAGGAAAATGGCTCCGCTCACTTCTCGGGCTCTGCTGGGTAGGAGCGCAAAAAAAACAGAAAATGGAGAATGGGGAAGGGAGGGGCCACCCGGCGCGGGGGCGTGGGGCGGGGGAGGGGAGAAGCGGAGACCTGGAGGGCGGGAGCCAGAGAGGGAAAATCCTGCCGGGGGAAACGCGACCCGGGCAACCACCCCCAGGGAGTCCAGCCCGAAAGGGAGAAGACCCTGCTGACAGACCCAGAGGCTTTTTGCTTTGCTGCTTTGCTGGTTTGTTGGTGAGGGGCGACCGTCGGTCCCTTCCTCAGAGCTCAACCACGCCAACCGAGCCAACAGTTCCTGGGCTGGGTGCATTTTTTTGAATTCACTGATAACTGAACGCAGCTGCTACGACCGATTTTCCCGAAAGTAGCCTAAGATGAGCTGAGCAGGATGAGCTCTGGCGCTGCCCCGTGGGGGCGGGGGGCCGCGCAGCTGTTGCTAAACTCGATTTATGTAGGAACTGTTGAGCAGGCACAGCAAAGGCCCCCAACAGCCCCTGGATTTCGGAGGAGGAGCTCTAGTCTAGAGAGGCGGCTTTGGAAAAGTGGCCACTTCAAGCATAAATTAGATGACCTGCAGATTTCCTTCCAACTTTGACTTTGTGAAGTTCTTCGGCAGAGGGGAGGAGGGGAGGCTTTCTGGAGGGCTTCGGTCTGGACAGCACTATGGCGGTGCGAGGGCAAGGGAGGCACCGAGCAGGGATCTCCGTGGTCGCTCCCCCCCAAAGCTGTAATTTCTAGAGTGGCCAAGTCTCTCTTCCTTCTTCCTCCTTCCCTTTTGGTAATCGTTTCGTGAGGGAAAGGGGAGGGCATCGAAGGCTTGAGCAGGACCGGAAAGTCGGGACAGCAAAAGGCGCCAGGGTTAAGGAGATCAGTTAAGGCGAGTCAGAGCAGCCCATAAGAGACTGAAGGAGACCTACTTTCTTCAAGTCCGTGGCGGCATCCCTAAACAGAGGTGCCTGGACCGATGCAGAGTGCTTTGAAGCCCCCCCCCACACACACACCTATACCCCACCCCATGGAATTGGAGCCTCAGTTCCAAGGGAATTTCAAGAGTGGATTACATATGCGGGGATCTGGTGGCCAGGGGCACAACTTACATGCCCCATTTACAGGGTCTAGAAAAACGTGAATCATTGACTCCCCATTTTCATGCATACATGTTGGTTATGGAGATTATCGAGTAAGGAGGAGCACCAGACACATTAACCACGAACTTGGGGTGGGGGGCAGGAAAGATTGCACGGCCTGTTTAGCTTCTTCTTTTGAGCTGCCTTAGTGCCAATAAAATCCTTGAAAGCACTTGGATGAATGAAAGGGGGAGAGATATGAAGCTTCATATCGGCACCCGCAAAGTCGGGAGGAATATGAAACGTTCCACTCTGACGTGCCTGTTCTAAGCAGTTCTGAAGAGCCTCATTAGTCTACAACCCTTTACAGTAGGTTCCCTGGATCTCCATTCACAAGTATCACACAGTAGGTTCCAGATAACCCTTTCATTTTCAAAGCTTCAGAGCAAAGGAAATGGCAGAAACCTAATTTGTCCCCCAACCTAATTCATGGCTGAATGGAAAGAACCACACTAGACGTCCCTCAATGTCCTGACACCAGCAACGTCTGGAACGTAGGTTGCTCTGCTTCCTTCACTAAAACAAATAGATCATGTTTCTCTAAGGGATTCTTTTAAACCTGGCACCCAAAAAAAAATGCACTGAACCCTTTGTTTTCATGCATTAAAAATTCAAAAGCTGAAGAAAAATAAGGATGCATCACAATAATTATAGCATAGCATTCACTCTGTAAGTCGGGTGTGGGCTTCTTGAGGACAAGAATGGATGAATGCATTCTGTGAGAGAGAAAGGGGAGAAGTGGAGGAGAGATAAAGGGGACCTGTATATCTGTCTATAGTGATGGGGACCACTAAGACCTGTGGGAGGAGGTATTTCTTCTCTTTGCCCAAGTCACCCCAGTCCCTCCCACCTCCCGGGCCGCCTATTTTCCCTAAGTGGTACTACGAGGTGCTGAGATTTAGGAACTCCAGGGAAAGTCAAAATCAGAGGTCGGGAGCATGGAAGGGAAAGACTTGTCCCAGAGACCCTTCTTCCTCCCTTCATAAGAGCCTCGATTATACCTGCCTGCTCTCCCAGACCTTCCACCAGGACCTCCAGCACCCTGGATCCTGCCCATCCAGCCTTTCTCCACGCCACTTTGTGGAAGAGCTGCCTCACCCACTCTTGTACTCCTCCAAATAGATCTGAGAAATAATAGGGCAAACTGGCTGAACTATCTCCTAGGATCTCTCACCTTCCTCCCCCCTCCCCCCAGATACAGCGGCCAGACTGCTGACCCCCACGGGTAAAGGTTAGAAAGGCCACACCGGGGGTCACATGGACTTCATCTCCTGGGGCCTTATGTATCAAAGAGAACTGGGAAGGGATGGAGGGCTTCTAAAGACAGCAACTCCTATACTCTGGCAAACCTGGAGCAACAAAGTGGCGACCGTTGCAACAAGAACCTTTGAAGCTTTGCTTTGTAACAAGTATGGCACCAACCTCCTTTGCACAGGCACCATCCAAGGGCTACAGAGCGTTAGGGGCCAGGTCGGGACAGGAATAAGCAAAGCCACATTCAAACTCACATTGGCTTTTCCACCAACAAATCACAAACATCCATAGCCTCTTAGTAACCAGTGTTGTCCAGACCAGGCAAACTAAATCCTTTTAGATCTTTATATCTTGTATGTTTATGAAACACA